TTTTGGAGACCCTTTAGCCCCGAGAATCGTGAATTGTGGAATCGAGAATGTTTTGAATTTGTGACTTGATTTGTTAGTCGATTCCCTGGAAGAAAATCATTCGAGTAGCAATACCCATTTTTAATTCCAATTACCTCGACACAGTTGGGCGCGATTAGGTTTGATTTTGAATCGATTTTGTATTGATTTGACGTCACTGCTACCACAACAGTGCGTAATTGGAAGAATTTGCAATGATTATGATACGATTTTAGAGTCATTAGCATTATAATAGCAAAGACGCCACTGCAGAGGCCTTACTGGAAAAGTAATACAGGGCCTGTCCACCCCAAAAGGGCGAATAATATTTGCAATCACTTCTAGAGGGAAAACCGCAGAAAACAACAAGAATCTCGAATGACGTTGTAAACTGGTGGCGGGCTGTTGTCGTTGTCAAGGTAACAATAACAAAATCTCCTAGAAAGTCATCAACAACAATAAAAACAAAAAAATAACCGAACGATTGTAAAGTCAGTGCGAAAAACAAGTCAATTCAATGGGGTAATATTGTGAGCATATTGCGCATACGCCATGTATTCCGATATGTATCTGTATCTCTTCACTGTATTTGTATCTCTGTTTCTGTGTGTGTGTGTGTGTTGAAAAAGTGGGCCCGTTTCAGACGAACGGGCCTCCAAAACACACACTCATACAAAAATGCCAAGAGAGCGAGATACGACACACCCCTCCATCTCACAGATACAAAAAATTGTGTAGCTGTATTTGTATATTTATGCCAATGTATCGCGTCCTTGATCGTAAAAAGTATTGTAAAGTCAGTGCAAGATCTCATTGAGTCATTTTTTTGTGGAATATTTGGTTTTATTTTAGGACATGTGGTCTTCGAAGCCACGTCTTCGATCAGGTGATACTTGTTTTTCTCCGCTCCATGACACCTCCGACTTGTTTGTGTATCTTTCGGTTAGTTACGTGCCCCCCGAAGGGAAATCGTTTATCAACTTGTTGTTTTTTTCGCCAGCCTTTTTTTTAACCCGCTGTTTGTTTTCGCTGCCAATGCCCGGCCAGAACAACAGAAACGTCCAGAAAGCCCCAAATCTGCAGCTGCAGGTTTTCGAATTTCACAATCAATAGTTTTGAAGTTTAAACTTTAAAGGCATAATGGGCATAAAGGGGTATAGGAGGACAATTATAATAAAATACAAAAGATCCTATACATTTTATAATGATCTTTTCTTTAAATTACATTTTTATGGCCATCTTTTGTCTTTCAAACCTTGTAGTGTTTGTAAAGTCCAAGTATTGGAAGCCCTGGAAGCCAGGATCTAAAATCGATAAACGATAGCCTGACAAGGCCAATTTTTTGAACGATTGCCAACACTAGATGATATTTAATAGATTTAGATAAGCCTGTAATAATACATTATGTCTAATTTTTTATAATTTATAATACGTAGATAATTACAAAATATTTTAATATGAATATAATATAAACTGAAACATATTTTATAAACTAGTATCTAAGTTAAAGGACCTTGAAAACTAATTTTTTATAAAAAAGGATCTTAAAAAGGAGGATTTGAGATCCAAAATAATAAGATTAATAATAATAATAATATAATAAGAGTTTTGTTTTATTTAAAAGTCAATGAAATCTAGTTTTTGGAAATAATATTTTCCATACCTTTAAAATATCCCCGAAAAACTTCCATTTACTTGAAGGCCCTTCTCCTTGAAAGCCCCCTCGGCCTGAAGGTCGCCCACAAATTCAAGTCAACGCCAACCGCGTGACCCACTGAACCAGGGACCCCGACCATGGCCAGGAAGGAGGCACAGCCAGAGAGAGGGAGAGAGATATGTACAAAGCCAGAGCGACACACATATTACAAGTGGGCACCGGGCCACTCTCCATCCATTGACCCTCTCGCTCTGGCCCGTACATTGACATTGAACTGCTCCCCGGCATTGATTGAACAACAAAAGCAACCAATTCAAGAAGACGGCTCGCTAATTTATTTGTTTATCAACCAGTTCAGCAGCCCAAGAAGAAGAGCCAGAGAGCGGCCAGAAAGGGGGTCGCGAGAGCGAGCCATGTAATGTAACCAGGAGAGCCTAGCTCTTACGCAGATCTCTCACTCTATTTCTCTTAAGTTACAAGACGCCTGGTCCGGGCCAAGTGGGTGGGCAGAGAGGCAGAGAGGGTGCATACACCGTGCACCTACTGGAATTCTCTTATCAGCCGTCGATCGTGATGCAGCTAATTTAGATATTGCATCAGCCAGGATTAGCGAGGGTCTTCACTCACTCTTCTAGTTGTTGTTGTTGTTTTCGCATCTAGTTACATATGTATGTATGTATTTGTTTTGAACAATCTGTCACAAACACACACACAGACGCTGGGAAATTTTGGCTTATCAGTCCGGCACGGGAAAGTACGACCAGGAAAAACAGGAAAATAAAAAACCAAATACAAAATAAAAAAAAAACATGCGCGTCACATTGCCAGAGGAACACAAGATGAAAATATTCCCCTCAATGATTATCAACTATATCCTTCAAAAACTTCATTTACTCCCATGTTGTATGAAAAAAAGGACATCCATAAGAAGAAACTAAGGAGTAGTCAGGTAAGAAACAAAAAGTGCTCGGAAGGAAGTCCTTCTAGTCCTAGTTGATAGCACGTGTGCGTCTCCTTAATGGATATTTATTCTTATCCTTATCTTCCTTTTTTTTCAATAAATCTGTATGTAACGAAGAGTTGTTATGTTTTATATGTAAATATATTTGGAAAAGTTGATTTTTAGAGTTCATTTACATGTAAATATGAAATTTTTGATACATGATTTATAAGTATTTGATACTTAATATTAAATTAAAGAAAATCCAACAAAACAACATTAAAATTAAGTCTTTAAAGATACTCTTTTATTAATATTGTACTATTTATCGTTGACTTAAGAAGATACTTATTAAATATTTAAGGTATTTCACTAAATTTTAGTTTGAAAATAACACAATTTTCAAAAAGTATTAAGAGGCACTGTATTAAAAAGTATTTTAAACATATTTTTAGCGTTTTGGTAAAGTTTTTAAACCAATAAAAATTGTAAGATAGTTAAAAAACACATCTTATATTCCAATTTTGTAGTTAAGTTTTATGATATTTATAGTTCTGTAACTAAAAAGGCATAACATAATTATATAGTTTGGAAAAAAACCAAAACCATAATTAAAATTTCAATGAATTTTTCCAATAAAAAAGTTAACTACCTACCTAGGCATGATATAAAGTTGTAGGCATGATAGGCATGATATAAAGTTGTATATAAAGTTTAAGTCAAGAAAAAAACTCTTTAATTATATAGTAAGTATGAATGTACGCTACGTACCGCTTGTTCCATTATGTACTTACCTTTAATGGAAACCACACAAGCTCCAAGCAGTACAAACAAGAAACTAGAACCAGAAGACAAGCCGTCAACCAAAAAATCAACTCTTAGCAAATATGTCAAAAAAGCACAAAAAAAAATCCGAAATTCTACAGAAAATAATTCGAAATTGTCGAGGCAAAAACACAAAAAAGTTGCCAAAAAAAAAAGCAAAACGAAAGAAATAAAAAACAAAACTCGGGTCGCCGAAATTGCCGATTGCTGCGCCCAAATAAGTACGCAGCCCATGGGGGGTACACAGCCCGCCACCCTGCCTCCCCCCACTTTTGGGGCAGCAACACAACCCGAAGAACAAGAATCGAAAGCCGAAGATCGATCGGCAAAAGGCCGAAAGAGCGCCAAACTTGAGCAAGAGAGCCGTTAAGGAAACAAAAGATCATTCGATTTTCGGCAATCTACATTTTGGCTACACTGCCCAAAAAATAATAGTAACTGGAAATAATAGTAACTTGACTAAAAATTAAATGATTTAAAAACAAGCAGGAAATATCAACTATTAAATAAATAAATTAAACTAAATTTATATTTAGTTAATCATTTGAGCTCGACGGGGTAACAAATTGTACTTTTTGGTCAAAAAATAAAAAGTATTTTAAAACTTGTGTGGCAAGTACATAAAAAAGCTGTCGGACATAAAGGAAAAAGATTTTTATAGTTGGTCAGTAAGCTCTGAACCTGTAATGATGATGACTATTGATAAAGTTGAGGTGGTCCTCGAAGGCTAGGAAGAAACCTGATGAAAAAGCTGTGGATAATAACTTAACCTTTGGGAGAAAAGTTACGAATCTTTCACTGTCACCAAAGAAAAACGGTAAGAAAGTATTATATCTCTATGTAGACGTTGAAGTTGATGAAAAAATGGGCCACGTTGGCAGCTTTAACTTCTGCAAAGAGATATAATACTTTCTTACCCCTTTTCTTTGGTCTTTTTATTTTTATTTTTTATATTTTTTAGAGCATCTTCTACAATGAATCCAACTAGGTTGACAAAAGTGAGTAATATTAATTACATATATTAATAAACATTTTAATAACTCACATATATTTTTAGGATTATCAGCCACCTAGCCAATTAAAATGAGTGATTCTTAATATTTACAGTTGATGTTGGGAAAACTCATTAATTAAGTAGGTTGTTTTTATAAATTTTCCTTATAACTAGTGCACAAAATCCTGTCACATATTAATATGTATTTCAAAAAGGTTGATTCTACAAGTCAGAAAAAATTGTTGACATTTATTATTTAAACAGGTGATGACTTATTGGTTCAATATATTTGCCAGTCATTCCCTTGTTTATTATATGTATTTTTCAATTTAATTTATAAAAAAACGTATGATGTTTTTCACCATTTTTTTTGTTTGTGTGGCGCAGTGTATGAGAGTGTTCTCGTCCTCTCCCCCGTTAGTTCTCTTAGCGGCCATTGGTGCGCTCTTAAAATGGCGATCAGAGGTAGGCGGGCCAGGTATGAGAGCGGGCTGGGAAGAGAAAGATTACCTGACAGATATTGCAGAGAGCGGCGACTATATAAGGTCGTGCAACCGTTCAGTTCGGTTGAAAAAAGCATAATTATCGTTATTCCTAGTGCGATCTGAAACACATCACCTCGCCAAACAGAGACCACCAACCATTTGCGGACTAAACAATTTATTTTTTTTTGCTGTGATCGAGTGATTCCGAGTCGAGTCTAGTGTGGCAAAGTGCATTTCTGTCAGTAGTTCCCTCCACACGAGCCACCCAACAAATAACTAAAATAACAAAGAAAATAAAGCCAAGAATAAAAGGTGATCGCGCAAGTGCGGCAAAGTGCAAGTGCAGAAAAAAAAAAAGAGAGCTGCACCTCCCCACCCTCCCAAAAAGAAAGAAAGAGTAACGAAAGAAAGTTCAACCGTTACAAGCGACAAAATGACGACCAAAATGGCCATTAACGCAAAGGTTTGTAATCGAAATCGAAATCGGGAACATTTGTAGCCACGCGCGCGCTCACCCGCCACCCGCCATCAACGCCATCAGCGCCACCGCCATCAGCGGCTGCCGAAAATAAATATTAATTTTAACAAGTTGGCAACAGACTCCCCGAATTGGGAATATTCGCGGCTCCGGCTATAGCTTGTATGTTAAATATATGCAAATCATGGAACGCGGCTCTCTATACAATTTTGTTTATCAGTTTTGAAAAAAAAATTAAATAAAAAAGGCAATAATAAAACTGATACAAGCCATAGCTGGAACTTAAATTCAAATAAAAATTAGACTTTTGTTACTTGGTTTTTTTACAAAATTAATATAAATATTTTATAGAAAACATTTGAAAAATCTTTAACAAAACCGTTTTTTTTCAAGAAACAAATTTTCTAAAAACAACTCTAAAAAAGTTTAAAGTTTACTTTAAAGTTTAAACCATATTAATAGTTTCTAACTATATTTCTAAAAATTTCTTTCACATTGAACTTGAAACAAAAAGACCAAAAAAAAAACTAGAAATAATTTTCAAAAAAAATCTTTTTGAAAGGCATACATATAGTAGCTTCTTCTACCCTCGAGAGGCAATCGCTCTTATTTCCAGACAAAACTATAAATAGAAGCCATTAATGTTTTATTTTGGACATTAATGACCGCCAACAGTCTTATCGCCCCCGAACATCGCCCGATAAGCGCCACAGGCAGACATATAGACGACATTAACTATATCTCCCTCTATAATAGACTTCTCATAATGAATTCTGTGTGCCACAGTCTACAAATATTTTGAACCAGTTTTTGGGATCGTGCTCTTCTGGTGGTTATTTGGAATATTTCGATTGGGTTTTTTTTTTTGGTTTATGGCTGATGCAATGACGACCACTACTGACAGCAGTTTTTGTTAGTTTTCTTGGCTTTTTAGTTTTTTTTTGTAGCTTAGCCTATAGTTTGGGCGATTTCATCAGCCAGTGCGCCATCAAGGAAATTCTGTCATCTTTGCATCAGCAATACCTGATTGTGTCTGGTTTTGAAACCGAGTTGGAATCTAAACTGCTGACTCTCGTCTGACCCCCGGTATTATATACATACATATAGTCGAATCTGAATTTGAATCTGAATTCGCAATATCCCCCCCCTTGTATGGAGGGGTTACATCAGTCCAATCTATTCGGCAGTCCGGCCGTAAACAAGATCGTCTGCCTTGCAAATTGGAAATTAATGAATGTGCAAATCAGTTTTCGGGAGTTGGCATTTTTTTTCGGGTCTAGAACTCAAAATTAGCATACTTCACAGGTTTTTTTTTTTTTTTGGAATTTTTTCAATTGCGGAAGCTTTATAAATATCATTAAAGTTCAATTCCCTTATGAGATTTTATTAAGAGGAGTTTAATAATTGAAATAAATAGGGTTTTTGGGTGGAGTTGTTATTAAAACTTGGATTTAAGGTTGCCATTTTACTATGGATGGCAGTCTAAGTAGGTTATAAGCCACATGCCTGTAATAAAATATAATATAATAAAAAAAATATAAGGATTCTAGTAGAATTCTATTACAACTTTAGTTCTGTTTTAATATTCTTGGAATAAGTCAAATATTTAGGTTTTTTGGAGCAGTTATGGTAGGCAGTATGGTAGGTGGCGAGGCACATGCCTGAGGAATTCGAGGGTTCTCTAGAATTCTATTTAAACTTTAGTTCTGTGTCATTGTTAGAGTTTATATAGACTGTTTTTAGGTTTATAAAAATAAAAAAAATTGAAAAATATTAGATAAATATTAGTATACTATATAAGACTAAAGAACCCTTAAGGTTTTAAACCCTAAAGTTAGAAGCAAGTATTATACGAAAATTCTTAATTCTTGAAAAAAAATCCAAGAAAACCTTTTAAAATTTTATTAAATTAAAAATTATTTACTTATTTAGCTTGTAGCCTTTGTTTTTATAGTTTTTTAAGTAAAATATTTAAAGAATAATAGAAAATGAATACATTTTTATATAAAAGAACCCTGACAACTTAGTTTTTAAGAAGAGAATCTATGTTTGGAGAAGACTAGTTCTTCCTTTACAAAATACTATAAATATTTTAGAATATAACTATTAAAATTAATAAGATCTTAATAATTAATAAATCTCTTTTCATATTTTTTCAGGATATTTTCCGCAACCAACACCGCCTTATCCGCTTCATCGAACAGTCCATCCGGCTGTGCAGCAACCAATCCCTGAAGGCGGCCCAGCAGCAACGCGAGCAGAAGACCTCGGCCGACTTCCAGATCACCGCCCAGGTGGACGCCCAATACACCAGCGCCCCGGAGCCGATCAAGCACGACCAGAACGTGGGCGACCAGTTCCGTGCCTCCCAGCTCTCCGTCCGGCTGGCCGCCCCGGAGCAGCTCCAGATGAAACCGGACAGCGACGAGGAGCTGGGCTTCGGCCGGCTCTTCACCGACCATATGCTGAAGATCTACTACCACAGGAACCTGGGCGGATGGCAGCGACCGGAGATCACGCCACTGGAGAATCTAGTCATGCATCCGGCCGCCAAAGTCCTCCACTACGCCGTAGAGGTAGGTTTCCACGGTTGTTTCCAAGCAATCGGTGTTGCTAGGGAAGGCAATGCCTTCCCCGCGAAATCGTGACTCTTTACTCCGGCTCGTGCCTGCACTTCCAGCCGTAATCCGGCAATCCCGTAATCCGACGATCTTTGCAAACAAGTGGCACGTGTGGACTGCTGGGGCTGACGTCAGAACCAGATCGTAGTTGCCATCGGCAGTGGCCTGATGATAATCCAATCAGTGATCTGATCTCTAATCCGTACCTCCCATCGGCTTTAATTGCAGCTCTTCGAGGGCATGAAGGCCTATAGGGGCGTCGATGGCAAGATCCGCATCTTCCGGCCGGATATGAACATGAACCGCATGAATCTGGCCGCCCAGCGCTCCGGCCTGCCCACCTTCGAGGGCAAGGAGTTCGTCCAGTGCCTCTCCCGCCTGCTTTCCATCGACTCCGAGTGGGTTCCACACACAGATACCGCCAGCCTGTACATCCGTCCCACCCTGATCGGCATTGATGTGAGTATTTTGTGGACTGGAACTGGAACTGGAACTTGGAACTAATCCTTACTCCCACTTACAGCCCACCTTGGGAGTAGCCTCCTCGGACTCCGCCCTGCTCTACACAATCCTCAGCCCTGTGGGTAGCTACTTCAAGACAGGATCTTCCGGCGCCGTATCCCTTCTGGCCGATCCCAGCTACGTGAGGGCGTGGCCGGGAGGCGTGGGCAACCGCAAAATGGGCTCCAACTACGCACCCACCATCAATGTCCAGAAGGAGGCCGCCGCCAAAGGACTGCAGCAGGTCCTATGGCTGTACGGCGAGGACCACCAGCTCACCGAAGTGGGCACCATGAACATCTTCATGTTCTACGTGAACGATCAAGGAGGTAAGTGATGAGGATGTGCCTTTAGATCCTTTAGATCTCAACATTCGCATCCCTTTTGCAGAACAAGAACTGGTTACCCCGCCACTGAGTGGCCTGATCCTGCCGGGCATCACTCGGGACTCCATCCTGCGCATGACCCGCCAGTGGGGCAAGTTCAAGGTGAGCGAGGCCAACATCACCATGCCACAGGTCTGCGAGCTGCTCAACCAGGGACGGGTAAGTCAAGGATCACCCTCGTTATCCTGTTTTGTGTTAATTTTTTGTTATCCTTTCCAGCTGCTGGAACTGTTTGGCGCCGGCACTGCCTGTGTGGTTAGTCCCGTTAACAGGATCAACTACCTCGGCCAGGACCTCTACATACCCACCATGGAACAGGAGAAGCCAGTCCACGAGCTCATCCGCGAAACGCTGACGGACATCCAGTACGGCAAGGTGGACCATCCCTGGTCGGTTGTGATCGACTAGGGATTCCACATCCTCCTTCTCTGTTCTTCCTGGTCCCACCTTCCTTCCCACTACACACACACACCCCCCCTAAGCAACCGCTCCCGCTCTCCCCCCCCTTCTAGTATTGTGTATTAGTAGGACCGTAGTTGGTTGCTAAACAGCTCGAATTTCGATTAATTATCGGGCGATATCATCATTTAATATATATATCCAATCTGTATCCTGTAAGTTGAGGATCGGGCCATGTAGACCATTAGCCGATCCGACTAAGTTGCATTTAACTGTATATTTATTATTTATTTATGACAGGAATTTAATTGTTTATTGTACATAATTCCAGCTGGTTCAATGTTATATTTATAGTCCTCTATATACCAATTTAATTTTTTTTTTTTTAATATTTGATACATGTTTAGTTTGCAGTAATAGTTATTTGTTTTTTTTTTTCATTTTGCGATTTTACCTTCAAGCAGCATCGACAGAAAAGCAAAAATTACCAACAATATAGATTTAAAAATTTTACAACAAAAATATGCGGATAATCCGCATGTCGGGACATGTCTCGGCATGTCCTGGCAAATCGATAAAAAACCGTACCGGAGACGAAATGCATTTATTAGTGAGTAAGTTATCGAGGCGTTCTTGGAGGTAAAAAGCGGCGCGAGAGTCCGAGCTGTGACTAAAGCTAATCTATACCTGAACCTGTCAGTAGAACCTAGGCCTAGGCTGTAATCCTAATCCGAATCAAGCTGTATACTATATCTTTACTCTTTACCTTAGTTGTTAAGTGAATCAAGCTATGAATAAACGAAGAGAAAACAACCTTAAAGGATTTCTTTTTGGGGATTTTGGTTTTGGGAAAACATTATTAAATTAAGGGTTATAAAATAACATTAAAAAACCTTCAAGATCTATATCAGAGTTAGCTGTCAACCTTAGCTTTTAAGGCATGTGGTTCGTCACCTATGCGAACTGCCTACACTAGGGATGATCCTCAAAGCCCTGAAGAGAAAAATTAGTTATCGATAGTCCCCCAATTTTAAATTTTGGCGCCGATAAGTCTCATAATTTTAATGCAGTTGAAATTTATTGCTTATTTGGTCACACTGATTAGGAGCAAGCTTTTCGGAGTACGCCGCTTCGGAATTTTTCGATTTCCAGCCAAGATGAAGGATATATTGCGGTATGTTGTGTTATTCCTACTAAGAGATCTTTTAAAGTTTCCAAACTAAATCCAACAAGGATCTTCAAAATAACAGTAAATGGATTTGTGGCAAACAAGGTAGAAAGGATACTCTCTACTTGGCCAGATTAAAGGCTTTGATCTCGTCCGGGGTCAGCAGGGAAGAGCGCAGAGCGAGGATCACTGCACGCGGCTGCTTGCTCAGGAGCTCCATTCGCTCCGCGGCCACCATCTTGTCCTCCATCTCCTGGCAGTCGTAGACTCGCTTGTTAATCTGGTGCATCTCCTCGATGTTCTCGGCCCGCCGCTGCTTCCTCTCCTCGATCATGACGGCGATGTCCTTGTACGCCTGAACGTCCAAACGATGGGTATTCTCGGCCTGGGCCACCTGGTTGCGGTACTGGCGCTCTCCGAAGCTGGTGGGTTCCTTCGGCTTCAGCATGCCCTCCTGGATGGCCTTTTCGCGGAAGAACTTCTGCTCATCCCGCTGGCTGAGGAGCTGGTCGCGGATCTCCCGCTTGAGGGCCATCTTCTGGCGGGCCTGCTTCAGGGCCAGCTCGTTGTCCTTGGCCTTGAACTCGCGGATGAGCAGGTTGGTGATCAGCTGCTCCCGGGCCTCGATCTCGTGCTTGATCTGGCTCAGCTGGAAGCCCAAACGGGCGGCGTTCATGTCCCTCGCCTGGATCTCGTCGAGGCGCCGCTTCTTCGCCATGCCCACGTAGGTGGCGGTCACCGGACCCAGTGCATCCAAAATACCTCGCTCCGGTTTGCCCTTCGTAGACTTTGCCGTGGCCACCCGTGCGGCTCGGCTCTGGGCAGCAGACGTTTGCAGGGCATTCATCAGCTCCCGCCGGTTCTTGTCCAACTTTATGGCATCCTTGATTCGGTCCTCCTCCACCTTGGCCAGGAACTCGCGCCGCTCCCGCCGCCCTTCCTCGACCATTGTCTGCTGGTCCTTGTGGCGCTTGTTGCGCGCCTCCGTTATCTGGACTATTAGGTCGCGCCGGAAGTTGGACGCCTTCAGGCCCTTATTCATCTCCTCCGCCTTGCGCTCCAGCTCCAGCTTCCGCTGCTCTGCAATCGCCTTGGCCCGCTCCGTCTGCATCTTGTCCGCCCGCTGCCGCTCGTTCGCCAAGATAGTCTGCCTCACGACCAGGGCTGTATTCGCCTGGTCCACCTCCGCCTTGAGCTGCCGGAAATTAACCACATTCCTGTGCAACTGGATGCGTTTGCTGGCCGCCACCCGCTGGCGACGCATCTCCTCCGCCAGGGCAGCGGTAATGGCGCCGTCGGTCCGCTCCAGCTGCTGCTTGGGATTCATGTGGGTGTGCCGGTCGGCGGCCAGTTCCTCCACCTGGAACTTGATCAGCCGGAAGAGCGAGTTCTCCGCCACCGAGTTCTGCGACTTCATACGGCAGGCCTCCTTGTCGTAATCGCATCCTGTGCCTGGTAACGGTTTCAAGTAGCTCAGCATGTTGGGAATGGGCTCTTGGGAGGCGGTGGCGAAAAGTGAAACTCCCGGATCATCCCAAGCTCCAAAACCTCGTAAAGGAGGCGTCTCATGGTGCGGCTTGCGTGTCCGCAAAGCAGTTCCAGTCAGAGCTGGTGGCCGTGCAGGATCAGGAGCCTCGTCTGATTCTGGTTTGGTTGTCGGTTCTACAGCTGGAGCCTCAGCAGCAGTCGGTTCGGTGTTCGGCTCCCCAGCCGGAGTGGGTGCAGGAGTCACTTTCGAGGCCGATTCAGCCACCGTTACCAGGGAAGGTGCTGGAGCTGGAGCTCCACCCAAAAATGGTTCCGTATCCGGGTCCACGTCGGCCACATCAGTTCCGTTCATTTTGATACTTTTTTGTTTATTTCCTCCTCAGGAAAATATAACTCTTGAGGAAAAGGATCAACTACCGAACGGAAAATACCTAATCCAAGGACTGGATTTTGTCGAGACTTGGTTTTCAACCCGCTGGGAGTCTTTGTTTAAGTTTTTGTGTGTTAACTTAACGCTAGGAGCTACCCCGACTGAATGGAGTGGAAGTTTCTCCACAACTACCAGGATTGCTTGAGATGACAGCTTTTGAAAGGATAGAAGTGATTCGGTAAGAAAACCAAAAAACACAAATTAAGAGATTAGCAAACTATTTAGAAAAATAAATTATTATATACATGATGTAATAGATAGAATAATAGTATTTAACTTAAATTTTAAAAAATAATTCATTTCATACATATAGTATGTCAAATAACTATTTTTACATCTACATTTATAGCGACATCTGTTGTTAAAAATGTTGGGATAAAGCGACATCTTGTAACCAAAACATTTGTCCCCAGATGACACTTTTGTGTTTCTGTAATGTAATATTCTGTAATGTAATGTTTTTTTTTTAAGCACAAAGATATAAATTATTTTTTATATTAGTTTTAACGATTTAAAAAATTAGTTTTTAGTCAGAACAATTAATGCTATAACTTTCACGCTTTGAAAACTTGTAACAAACTGTAGACCCAACTTCTTTACTAAAGCTTATTCTTTAAATAATGATCTAAATAAGTTTATGATCTAAAAAGTATACGCTTATCCATAATACGATATAGTCTTTGTAATAAAAATAGGTATAAAGTGTATACCATAATAGAACAAACATATAGAATATTATAATCAGAAGTTTTAGCTATCCTTTTGAGACTAAATACTGCACTAACTTTTCAGTTTCAAAAAGAAAAACAGATTTTTTTTAGAACAAACCCAAAACATCAAAAACATCTTAAAAAAGCTTCTAAGAAACAATTTTGAACTAATGAAAAATAATAATGTGGAATAATAATAAGGAACTAATGATAATAAAAATAATGCCAACAATGTCTTTCAACTATTACTCTTTTATTTTTAAGAATGTGGTCAATTCTCCATTTTAACTCAGCATTTCATCATTTCAACTAAAAAAAAAAACCTACTAACACTTTTGTTTATTTTCTTGAAAGGGTCATAGCGACCATATTATGTATATTCTTGATCAAGATCACCTCCAGTTGATAGAAGCATGTCAGTCTGCCTGTTTCTACTACATTCTATAGCTGCCATATAACTGATTGGAAATTCCACAACTATGTATCTCTAATAGGGAATTGGGATTTCCTATAGAATTAGGATCTGCCGACTATATCTTATGTATTATGAAAAACTATTCACACGCCTCCAACTTTAAATAAGTTTTAAAATTAAGCCGTTGATTATATTCACTCTAATTTTTATAAAATTATGTATATTGATTTCGAAAACGCTTAATTTTAAAACTTATTTAAAGTTGGAGGCGTGTGAATAGTTTTTCATAATACATAAGATATAGTCGGCAGATCCTAATTCTATAGGAAATCCCAATTCCCTATTAGAGATACATAGTTGTGGAATTTCCTTTTACATTTTATTTTATGTTACTTGAACAAACCCAATATTTTAAATATCGAATACTAATATTTTAAATATCGAATACTAGTATTCGAATAATCGAATACATCATTATGTGCTGTGAAAAAGTTTTAGACTGAACTTTGGCCTTTCTGGAGAATTTTACCAATATATTTAAAATCTGTGGATAAGCATATGTTTGATACTCAACGATTCCCATATTAAATATAACTATTAAGCGCTTAAAATAAAATAATTTGTTGCTTTTAAAAATTAACTAATTAAGAGAAATAAAATTACACCCACAACTACAACAGCGTCATCTGTTGATAATTTCCTTTGTATTTTTTGGCTAATAGATGTCGTCTCGGTCAAAAATTATAACCATAGAGAGCTCCAAATCTTTTATTGGTTCTCTTTCTCGCCGTGTGAGGGCGCTTATAGGAAGCTACAGTTATTTCATTCCCAATACAGCAACCGTTATTTACACATGGTCAGTATGAAGCTATGCTTCTCTAATTGACTTGAATTAGAAAGAGATATGTACGCATATGAGGTCGTTTCTAACCTTGTAATATTAAATTACAACACAAATATTACAACAAATAGGTACACCAAACAAAAAAAAAAAAAAAAAAAAATAAAATATCGGAAATATTTTTTCTGAATTTCAGGCTAGCTTAGGTGCAACCTTTGAGAATCGAGGAGGAGGGCGCTATTTTTAAAATAAATTATTTTTATTTTTTTATTGAATTTCTACTAAATTAAAAACATTTTAGGCAATGTAATAGGTAAAAACGGTTAATTCTTGTCTTCATTGATATTTGATTTCCTGTTGCCCTTAAAATTAGGCAACGGAAATATGAGAAAGTGGCTATATCGCCTCCAATTCTTATCCGATTCTTGCGGGGGATACCTTTAACGATTTGCTGATCGATTTCCCATCAATCTGCATTGAAATCTCGACACAAAATATTTTTTAGATTTTTTTCAAATTTTTCCTGGGGAGACCCCTTCAGAAAGCGGTATTTTGGAATATGCCCCCTTCGAAGACTATATCTTGGCCAATTCTTATCCGATTCTTGCGGGGGATACCTTTAACGATTTGCTGATCGATTTCCCATCAATCTGCATTGAAATCTCGACACAAAATATTTTTTAGATTTTTCTCAAATTTTTCCTGGGGATACCCCTTCAGAAAGCGGTATTTTGGAATATGCCCCCTTGGAAGACTTTATCTTGGCCAATTCTTATCCGATTCTTGCGGGGGATACCTTAAACGATTTGCTGATCGATTTCCCATCAATCTGCATTGAAATCTCGACACAAAATATTTTTTAGATTTTTTTCAAATTTTTCCTGGGGAGACCCCTTCAGAAAGCGGTATTTTGGAATATGCCCCCTTCGAAGACTATATCTCGGCCAATTCTTATCCGATTCTTGCGGGGGATACCTTTAACGATTTGCTGATCGATTTCCCATCAATCTGCATTGAAATCTCGACACAAAATATTTTTTAGATTTTTTTCAAATTTTTCCTGGGGAGACCCCTTCAGAAAGCGGTATTTTGGAATATGCCCCCTTCGAAGACTATATCTCGGCCAATTTTTATCCGATTCTTGCGGGGGATACCTTTAACGATTTGTTGATCGATTTTCCATCAATCTGCATTAAAATCTCGACACAAAATATTTTTTAGATTTTTTTCAAATTTTTCCTGGGGAGACCCCTTCAGAAAGCGGTATTTTGGAATATGCCCCCTTGGAAGACTTTATCTTGGCCAATTCTTATCCGATTCTTGCGGGGGATACCTTAAACGATTTGCTGATCGATTTCCCATCAATCTGCATTGAAATCTCGACACAAAATATTTTTTAGATTTTTTTCAAATTTTTCCTGGGGAGACCCCTTCAGAAAGCGGTATTTTGGAATATGCCCCCTTCGAAGACTATATCTCGGCCAATTCTTATCCGATTCTTGCGGGGGATACCTTTAACGATTTGCTGATCGATTTCCCATCAATCTGCATTGAAATCTCGACACAAAATATTTTTTAGATTTTTTTCAAATTTTTCCTGGGGAGACCCCTTCACAAAGCGGTATTTTGGAATATGCCCCCTTGGAAGACTTTATCTTGGCCAATTCTTATCCGATTCTTGCGGGGGATACCTTAAACGATTTGCTGATCGATTTCCCATCAATCTGCATTGAAATCTCGACACAAAATATTTTTTAGATTTTTTTCAAATTTTTCCTGGGGAGACCCCTTCAGAAAGCGGTATTTTGGAATATGCCCCCTTCGAAGACTATATCTCGGCCAATTCTTATCCGATTCTTGCGGGGGATACCTTTAACGATTTGCTGATCGATTTCCCATCAATCTGCATTGAAATCTCGACACAAAATATTTTTTAGATTTTTTTCAAATTTTTCCTGGGGAGACCCCTTCACAAAGCGGTATTTTGGAATATGCCACCTTGGAAGACTTTATCTTGGCCAATTCTTATCCGATTCTTGCGGGGGATACCTTAAACGATTTGCTGATCGATTTCCCATCAATCTGCATTGAAATCTCGACACAAAATATTTTTTAGATTTTTTTCAAATTTTTCCTGGGGAGACCCCTTCAGAAAGCGGTATTTTGGAATATGCCCCCTTCGAAGACTATATCTCGGCCAATTCTTATCCGATTCTTGCGGGGGATACCTTTAACGATTTGCTGATCGATTTCCCATCAATCTGCATTGAAATCTCGACACAAAATATTTTTAGATTTTTTTCAAATTTTTCCTGGGGAGACCCCTTCAGAAAGCGGTATTTTGGAATATGCCCCCTTCGAAGACTATATCTCGGCCAATTTTTATCCGATTCTTGCGGGGGATACCTTTAACGATTTGTTGATCGATTTTCCATCAATCTGCATTAAAATCTCGACACAAAATATTTTTTAGATTTTTTTCAAATTTTTCCTGGGGAGACCCCTTCAGAAAGCGGTATTTTGGAATATGCCCCCTTGGAAGACTTTATCTTGGCCAATTCTTATCCGATTCTTGCGGGGGATACCTTTAACGATTTGCTGATCGATTTCCCATCAATCTGCATTGAAATCTCGACACAAAATATTTTTTAGATTTTTTCAAATTTTTCCTGGGGAGACCCCTTCACAAAGCGGTATTTTGGAATATGCCCCCTTGGAAGACTTTATCTTGGCCAATTCTTATCCGATTCTTGCGGGGGATACCTTAAACGATTTGCTGATCGATTTCCCATCAATCTGCATTGAAATCTCGACACAAAATATTTTTTAGATTTTTTTCAAATTTTTCCTGGGGAGACCCCTTCACAAAGCGGTATTTTGGAATATGCCCCCTTGGAAGACTTTATCTTGGCCAATTCTTATCCGATTCTTGCGGGGGATACCTTAAACGATTTGCTGATCGATTTCCC